GTATGAGTGGGTGGGTGGTATTTTCTTTTTGTCTTTTTTTTTTAAATTATGCAATAAAAGAAAAATAAGAAAACAAAATATGAAGGGTAAATCAGTCATTTTAAGTTTTTCCAAAAACATTTGGACCAAACCTGCAATAGAATTCACTTTTTGGACCAGTGGTGCAACTCCAAAACATTTTGTACCAAACATCTAATTTTTGACATACCACAGGGACCAAACTTGCAATTTTGTCTATTTTATATATTTATATGCTTAGATGAATATCTCTATTTTAGATATTAAACTATAAAATAAAATAAAATGAGATGGAGTGTGTGGATCAATTCAGACTCATGGCTCATCTCACATATACTAAAAATCATACATTTAACATGTTATTTAACTCGTTTATTCTATTACCTCCGTCTATCATATCTTTTCATGGTCACAAAAGGAATATCAATATATTTTTGTTTATATAAATGTGGTTGTTATATGGTAGCCGACACGTCCTTTTAAAGACTTGGAGTGCTAAAAAAAGAAAAATAAAGAAAAACGAAGGTTCTCATGTAGTCGTATATGCACGGATTTTATTGAGATCCTTGCTTTATATCATAAACAAATGCACTTTTTATATCTTTTATTTTTATATCTACTAATTTTGCAATAGTAACTTGTATATAGAAAAATCATCATCATAATTTATATAACCATTGCAATTTTAAATCTCACTGGCAACATTATGAAACTAGAACCGTTTGATAGATAAGACATCGTTTGTTCATTCTTTTGTTAAATTAGGTCTCTATACGAATAATGTCTCGTGATATTAACATGAAAACAAAAGAAAATTATTGAATACACGATATCGTTGCCTTAATCTGCAATAAAAATATTGTAATATATTATTTGCTAAAAACAGTAATGACATTAAAAATACAATAAATCTCATCAATAGAAATGAAATCACTGTCAATTAATACAAGATAAATATTACAGTATTTATGATCTTATTAAATGCAGTTCTAAAAATGACAACCAAGAAACACGAGGGAGTCGATGAATATAGATAATACTTTAAATAATTGATTTAGAAAAACAGAAATGATTCTTTTGACTTGAAAAAGATTTCAATTGACACTCTCACTGCATGTGCCCTTTCGTCTCTCTCTCTCTCTCACACACACACAGACACACAGTGGTTTGAAAGCAGGCGATATAATGAATCTCCTCACACTTCTCATGAGCCCATAAACCTTCAATCTTTAATCTTTCATATTCTCTGCAATTCCTTTTCTCTTCTCTCTCGAATTAAATTCGATCACGCAAACCAAACCTTCAAACATTCAACCTGCCATTGCATTAATTACTTCAACGAACCAGAACCAAAACCAAACCCCACTATATACTGCTCAAATCTTTGATCCAGTCACGCTTGTTTGTTTGTTTGTTCTTCCATCCAACGAAATCGAAACCACGATATGGGTCTTGAAACATGGCTAATCAAGGTCAAGAAATCGATCTCACATAGCTTCGATTCCGTCCATGGTCACTCTCTCCCACCAAACGGGAAGCCGGTGATCAAGAAATCAAGGGTCGGAGTATTGGCTTTTGAGATCGCAGGAATCATGCCGAAGCTCAATTACATGTGGCAGATGCTCTCCGATAAGAGTATGACCCGTCTTCGTAATGAATCGGTATGCCTTGAAGGTGTTCGAAAAATTGTCTCGCCCGACGATGTGTTTCTTCTCGGGTTAGCGTGTGCGGAGATGGTCGAGAATCTGAGAGTAGTCGCGAAATCAGTCTCCAGGCTGAGCAAGCGGTGTGAAGATTCGAGCTTACGAAGCTTCGAGAGTGTGTTTGATGGTTTCGCGAATACAGGTCGTGATCCCCATGGATGGATCATGAGCTGGAAAGAAATGGAAGCCAAGATTAAGAAGATAGAGAGGTATGTTACAGCCACCGCTACACTTCACCGGGAAATCGATGAGTTAACTGTTATCGAGAACAGTTTGAAGAAATCCTTACAGTGTTGTAATAATAATTACAAAAAGGATGTTTCCTTCACCAACACGATGAAGCAACAGAAGATTCTCGATCTTCAACAAAAGCTCCAATGGCAGAAGCAAGAAATCAGACATCTAAAAGAGAAGTCGTTATGGAACAGAAGCTTCGACACGATAACTTCATTACTTTCGAAATCAATCTTCACCATTCTGTCAAGAATCAAACTCGTTTTCAACATCAACCATGGCTACCCTTCTTCTCTCCCCCGCAGCCTCTCCGCCTCCGCCACCGTCTACCCCTCCGATCAAACCTCAAACTCATTCAACTTCGTTTCCGGTCCCTTGATCAAAAGCTCAAAACATCAAGAGAACAACCATATCTCCCACGGATTTTTCGAAACAAATTCGAAAATCCTAAAACCATCATCAACAACTTTAGGATCTGCGGCTCTTGCTTTACATTACGCGAATTTAATCATCGTGACAGAGAAGATGATACGATCGCCACAATTGATTGGAGTCGATGCTAGGGATGATGTTTACTCGATGTTGCCTAATAGCATACGATCTTCATTAAGGAGACGATTGAAAGGGATTGGGTTTACAGCAAGTGATCCCGTTCTAGCAGGCGAATGGAGGGAAGCGTTGGGGAAGATCTTGGGATGGTTGTCGCCATTAGCGCATAACATGATGAAATGGCAAAGTGAAAGAAGCTTTGAACATCAGAATCGAATGCCAAAAACTGGTGTTCTTCTTTTACAAACGCTTTTTTATGCAGATCAAGAGAAAACGGAAGCGGCCATAACTGAGCTGTTAGTTGGTTTGAATTACATTTGGAGATTCGAAAGAGAGATGAATGCTAAAGCCTTGTTAAATTGCAGTAATTTCAAGAATTTGCAGTAATACTTTCAATTTGATTCCAAATTTTTGTTTTTTTTTCTTTTCAATTTAATTCTTTTTGGGTGGGTAGATGAGCATGGGGGTAGTCGTGTTGAATGTTGACGATATTGGATTGGTATGTAAATTAATTGAGACGAGCTTAATTCAGATCTTGAAAGATTTGTTTTTTGCTCCCTAACCTGATCTGTATATTAGAATACCAAATGTTTGTAAACTTTTTATTGAGTTAATTTTAATAAAATATTTCATGCGTTTTTGTTTGTTATAGCAATGATCATATGACCTCGGATTCTATTGGTGCATAGATCAACAAAAATATTCATATAAAATTATGAAATTTTGCAGGCTTTAATTGGATTATATGTACGTGTTTATTCATTATTGTTAAGTTATACCACTTTGAGTTTGTGATGAAGAATTTAATTGATATGATTAGTCAAAGGTTGAAATTATTATTGGAACAAAGATTGAAATAACAACTGGAGTTAACATTTTTTGAAATAAAGAAATCATGAATCTTTTTACATAAAATACATAGCTTAGATTCGTTTAAACCCTTAGGCCTTAATGATACCTACATGCCTATTACCTAAAATAATCTTTGAAATCATTATAGATATTCCATAGAAAAAAACAATCTAGAATTAAACTAGTGTATATTACGGTTATATAGAGCTTTAATAATATTTTTTGAGATAACTGACTTTTAATTTGGATCATATATTTGAATTAAGACATATGTTGCTGGAAATTAAATGTATAATTAGTTGTGAAACTCATGTATTATATGAGTTAATTTAAAAAAGAAGTTAAATATGAAGGTCTAAATAATTGAGAACTTTGAATTTATAAGAAAAAATAAGAAAAATAATGAATTATTAAAATTGAAATGTTTTTTATCTTTTAAATTTAAATAAATAAACAAAAGAAACTAATAAACTTTAATTTAAAATTTTTGAAATTAAAAGGTAAGCCATTAATGAAATTGATATTCATTTATTACTATATTTATTGCAATTATTACATTAAAAAATATTATATGAAACTTAATAAAATAGAAAAAACTCATAAAATGACATGTGGAAAAAAAATTTATTCAAAATTACTACAAATTGACATTTGTCAAATTGAAGGAGAGCATGCCATGTGATGAAAAAGTTATTTATTTATTATGAATGATTGCAAATCGTCTAAGTTACTTTTATCCCATAGGGGGAGAAATCTTGTGTGTATTTATCGCTATTTTCTCATAATAGGATTGTGAAGGCACACATTGTCACAGTAGATAAACTACACTGGCATCGTTAGCACCGCCTCTATACTTGGCATCTAGACTAAAATATGATAGTGGGTTGTCATGTAATGAACGCTTAAGAAACCATGGCAAAAGATTATCTCCAAGAAATTTGCAATGATGTTTGCTGATCATCATGTCTCAGCTATGACATTAGCAATGCCTCTACAGAATCATGCTCAAGTTGGACTGAAAATATGTGAACATAGTAGACCTTTTCGTGAAGATGTCGGCATATTGATGAGTAGGGGGGAGTAGGCAGCTGCATATGACCTGATTTTTATTATTATTATCATTTT